ATCTCCCAATGATATATTGGGAAGATGCCTTCCAAACTGCAACTTATGTGATAAATAGGCTTCCAACACATGTTTTAAACCAAAAATCACCATTTGAGATGTTGTATAACCGTGCTCCAGATTACTCTTTTATGCGTGTGTTCGTCTATGCATGTTGGCCTAACTTGAGGTCTTACAATCAACATAAGCTCAATTTCCGTTCCAAAACATGCATTTTCATTGGCTATAGTCTTTGTCATCAAGGGTACAAGTGTCTTGATCTCTCTACTGGTAAGGTCTATGTCTCAAGACATGTCATTTTCAATGAAAATCTTTTTCCTTACACTTCCGAAAATAAAAACCAAAGCCCCGCTCATCAACTTCCAACTCTGTCATGCCTCCCCTGCTTATTAATTCTTCCCCATCAACAAGTTTCAACGATTTGCAATCTAACCCAATTCCCACAAGAATCAAATTTGCACCATTATGTTCAATTTTTGCAGGAACAGGTCATGGAACATCTACCCAGCCAGCAACCAATGCAATCGACTCTGCTGATGCCCCACACGACAATGCATAGCCTACTCCTACAAACACTCATTCCACGGTCACCAGATCAAATAATCAAATCCATAAGCCTCGGCAACAATCTGATGGCTACCTTTACTACCCCTTATCAAGAGCTTTGATAGCAGAAACATCACCTCTAGCAACAGAACCAACCTCTTACACTGAGGCCTCTAAATCCATCCACTGGCAAGATGCTATGAATAAAGAATTCACTGCGCTGCTACAAAATGGTATTTGATCTTTGGTGCCACCGTCAAATAACACCAATGTTGTGGGTTGTCGTTGGGTGTTTAAAATTAAAAAAAAAAAGGCGGATGGAATCATTGAATGTTATAAAGCATGACTAGTCGCCAAAGGATTCCATCAAAAAGAAGGAGTCGATTTTTTTGAAACATTCAATCTAGTCATCAAACATACCACTATTCGTTTAGTGCTTTCTCTTGCCATGTCTTATAATTGGTCTATAAAGCAATTGGATGTACAAAATGCATTCTTGCATGACGATTTAAAAGAGGATCTGCTCATTTTACAACCCTAAGGATATATTCATCCACAATATCCACATCATGTGTGTAAACTACACAAGTCACTTTATGGATTGCGGCAAGCCCCAAGTGCATGGTTCTCAAAGCTCTCGGATAAACTCAAGTCTTTGGGTTTTCATGAAAGTAAAGCTGATTCGTCTCTATTTATTCTTCGGAAATCAGCTATTATTATTTACATACTTATATATGTGGATGATATTTTGATAACGAGCTCAAGTTCAAATGCAATCACTCACGTGATTGATTGCTTGAAGAATACCTTTGCTGTCAAAGACTTAGGTGCACTAAATTTCTTTCTTGGTGTTGAGGCACTTCGGTATCCATATGGCATTTACCTCACTCAACGAAAGTATATTGCTGATTTACTAAAACGGAGTAACATGGACAAAGCCAAGCCTTGCACAAGTCCCATGGCCTCTAGTTGTCATCTTACTTCCAACGATGGACAACCCTTTGAAGATATAAGTCTCTACCGAAACATCATAGGTAGCCTGCAATATCTATCCTTCACAAGGCCTGATTTAGCCTTTGCGGTACACAAAGTCAGTAAATTTATGCATCGACCTCTTGATACACATTGGATGGCAGTCAAGCGTATATTATGCTATCTTAAACACTCGGTGTCTACTGGTTATTATATCACCAATACTACTGATATGAGGTTGCAAGCTTACTCAGATTCTGATTGGGCGGCTAATAGAGATGACCACCGCTCAGTTGGTACCTTCTGTGTCTATATGGGCTCTAATTTAATCTCTTGGCGCTGCAAGCAGCAGCCCATAGTTGCTAGAAGCAATACCAAGGCTGAATACAAAGCGCTAGCAAATACAGCAACCGAGATCACTTGGATAAAATCTCTTCTATTTGAACTTGGTCTTCCTCAAAAACAACCACTGGTTCTTTGGTGTGATAATATTGGAGCTACTTACCTCACATCGAATCCTGCATTTCATGCAAGAATGAAGCACATTGAAATTGACTTTCAGTTCGTAAGAGACCAAGTGCTCAATAAACAATTGGAGGTTCATTTTATTTCAAGCCGCGATTAGTTAGTAGATGCACTTACTAAGCCATTACCTCCCATAAAGTTTAAAAATGTACAACATAATCTGCATGTCCGTGAACTACCCTCCAGATTGAGGGGGCGTGTAGAGAATCAAGTCAATGTAACGGAATTAAAGGTTGAAGATATTGAAGATCAGAATATTGAGATATGCAGCAACGGTAATGATTGAAATCACAGTAGTAGATTTGGTGAACTCTCAACAACAAATTAGGAGCCTAACAAATGAGGAAGATTCGATCCTATGTTTCTGTTATAAGATTGTACAGCTGTAATCTTTTAATTTTAATTATTCACGTAAATGTAGGCATCCATTGTAAATGCTCTTTTATATATAGCTACACAATTTATACCATACTCAATGAAAAACAAAGGAATCAATTCTTGCATACTCTCCTTTTCAATTCTTTTACAGAGGATTCTATAATTACGAATGACTTCCCATTCTCTTTGGTTTTCCATTCTTTTATTTTATTTTTATTTTCTTTTGTCTTTTAAGTCTTTATTTTCCATTAAAAGAAAAGTGTGAGGTCAACCAATATGTTTTGCTCTCGTCATAAATAAAAGATCATCGATTTCTTTGCAACAAAAAGCAACTTAATTTATATATAATGCTAAAATAAGTTGTGATTTATAATATATTATGTAATTAATGTGAAAGATTATTACAAGACATCTTATCCACAATACATGTATGAAAAGAAAGAACCAAAATTATTAATTATCATAATTGGAGGTTGAGTTAAATTACATTTGTAAAAGCTTCAAAGTTGATAACTATGTGAAGATGAAAGCACAATAATAGTCATTCAATTTTATTAATCAATCATTCCAAGTAATTAATACAATGTATGTTCATTGAAATGAGAACGAATTTCATTCTATGCATTAAATAATTAAATATTACTACTGTGACGAAGCAGGAGCTTAAATTAATACTAATTATTATTCATGTGGAGACCGATTTAATATTAATTGTAGCTCAAGCTTCATACAGATTTTTTCAATTACAACTAATAATATATTTGTTGCAATCTAATTCCTAATTTTTTTATTAGAATAATTATTTATTTGTAACCTAACGATTTAAATATGAAAACTAAAAAATGATATTTAATACTAACTCAACCATCACGAGATGATTTAATTGTGATGAATGCTGATGAATTTGTTTGACAAATTCAAATTATAAGTTAGGTATTGTATTTTATTTATATTTATATTTATATTCATTTGGTTTTCATATCTAAATTATGTATATGCCATCGATGTATGAAGTTACCTGGTCCAACAATATTATATTAAAAGTTTAAGTTATCATTGAAATGACATTGTGCCATTGAGATTATAGGAAAAGTGGTTTGATTGAAATCCAAAAAATATCTTAACCTTGTGAGCTGTGAGTTAATTATCCAATTACCCTTAATGAAACTAGTAATTAATCAATCAGAACCGTCCAATTGGGTAGATTAATTGAAGAAGAAATGTTTGATTTGGATTGGAGAAACTTGGTAAGTGAGAACAAACAAAAACTCCCGATCATGTGGAGGTTCGATAGTCAAGTAATGTTTAGATACACCAAACACACGCGTCACGTGCCAGCCAGCCTCTGAAAGTTGTTGGGCTTTTATAACATTTTATTATCGACTTCGCTATTCTAAATATCACGTGGTCTTCATCTACCAAGCCTTCTTCCCTTCTTATAAATACTCACCAAAACTATCATCCAAATCCACAACACTCATTTTATTTCCTCAGAAAATACAATACTCAACCCTTTACCGCCTTCTTTATTGAAAGAGAAAAATGGTGACTGTTGATGAAGTTCGCAAGGCTCAACGTGCCGAAGGTCCAGCCACCGTGATGGCTATCGGCACGGCAACCCCTCCCAACTGTGTTGATCAAAGCACCTATCCTGACTATTAAGAAACGCTTCAACAATCTCACAGCGACTCAAGCTCCGTAAGCTCTCATTAACCTTCATATAATAAACAAATAAAATTTTGTTTCCAGCAACAATGGTGTTTTGGCTATCAACCTTTTACTAACAAAGCAGGGTTACTGAAACTTGCAGTCAAGCGAAGAAGAGGACGAAAATGGGGAGAAGAAAAAGAAGAAGAAGAAGCAGGGATTGAAGGAAAAGATCAAGGAGAAAATCTCTGGTGAAAAGGAAGAAACTATAGAGAACAAAGACTCTTCCATTCCAGTAGAGAAATATGATGAGAAAGCAAATGCAGAAGCAACTCATCCAGATGACAAAAAAGGCTTTCTAGAGAAAATCAAAGAAAAACTTCCTGGTCAGCACAAGAAAGCCGAAGAGGGCATTGCTCCCGCATGTTGTGCACATGAGCATTGTGCAGAAGGCAATGAGAAGGAGAAGAAAGGAATCTTCGAGCAGATCAAAGAGAAGCTACCAGGCTCCCATGCAAATGAAGAGAAGCACAAGGAATATTAAAATAAACTCCTTCAAGTTTATCATCAGTGTGTTGTTTGATTGTTTCATGGTCTTGTATGAGTCTTGGTGTCTCTGTTCTGTGTGTTATCTCCGTTAAGTGTTCAAGTCCTTCGTAACTTCTGCATCAGTTGAATGTTATGCCTATTTCCTCATAAAAGCTGTTTTTACAAGTTCGTGATGAACAAATCAAGCACAGATTAATTTCAAAAGAAAAAACTAAAACAATGAGCATTCGCAAGAATAGCTTCACAGAAAATAAATCTAGTTTACAATGATGAACTATATGAATAGACCTAGTAAATTTACATTGTCAATGAACTCCAAATCCTTCTATTGGCACCTTGAATTTGAACCATCTAAAGATAGATTCAGTTTATGTGAACAGAAATTTCAAGAAGCAAGAAGTAATCAAGATAGTTTTTGAGAAATGATCAAGAAGATCATCAATCATAATTACATGAATTAGTCAAGTTTAGAGGCTTGCCGAGTTTGTTGCCTTTCAAAGTGACCAAGCAACGAATGTGGCTATAAAACTTGGATTTCACCAGTCTTCCCAAAATGTAAGCCCTTGACCTCACCAAAAATGTCAAGTTCAGGGGAACCTCGACTCTCGCAAGGTGCTGCTGATCTCTAGCACTTGCAAGAACTGAAACCCCACCATAGAGCGGCACTTGATGTCCTTTCACCACTGTCACCACCTTCCTCTGACTCTTCCTTGATTCAGTAAACTTCTTCATCTACTTCATCCATTTATAGACAAATCAATTAGATTAATAAAAACGCCCACCACTTCACAAGTACTATTCTAAAACCATTAATTAAATTATTGAATTCGAAACAACTACCATTCCTGACTTCGTAATCAATTATCTAAAGACAAAGAAAACAAACCTCTAAAACATGTATCAACCTTACAACACACGCGCCATTTAAGTTCAAAACTTACACAATAAGGAATGGACCTCAAGGTGATAATGATAAACCCATACACACTGGAACATGGATTTCATTATCTATCATTGTGTAAGTCCTAAACTTAAGTATTGTGAGACAAATATGTATGTCAGGAGATTGTCTCTCCGACCTAGAAGTCACAGAACAAACCAAAACTGTTAACATTGCAAGAAACAGAGCATGCGAGAAATAATGTTCTATCACGTCATTGATTTTGATTCTACTAAGTAAAGCAGATACAATGAAGCCATGTTGTAAAGAGTTAGATTGCTTGAAGCCAAAGAAGTAAACAAGGAGTAATTACAAGAAGAGTGGACCCAATTACGCTTCCCAATAAATAGACTGGCATTATATTTTTCTGCAAACTTTCCAGTCTTTTACAGGCACTCGAATAAAGACACCCAATCCCATTCAAAAAGTCTTCGATACTTTCAACCCATATTTCTTTTCGCGAGTAAACGACATTTTCCCACCCTTTTTCATAAATGTCAGATTTCCACCCTTAAATTAAGGTGTTACTTTTTTTTTTTTTTTTTTTTTTTTTCAAAATAACCACTATATCTCAAATTTCTCACAAATAACCCCTAAAGGATCTCTGCCACGCCAAGAATCTAGCTTCTAACACCATTGGACCTTCTCACACCACCATCAGTATCCCTTTATCCTCCTCACCAAAACCCCTAACTTTTTCACCTGATTACACCTCAGTGAGATGCCAAAATTTGCCTAGAAAGGGACAAAAAAATGTAAAAACCTAAGAGAGAGGAAGGCGACGATTGGCGGGCAATTGCAATCGGCGATGTTGGCGGTTTTGGTGGGGATAAGCCGACGATGCTATTGGTGGCTTTAGGGGTGGTTTTCGATGCCAAGACTTGTCAGAATTTGGATAAAACGCCAATTAACATTAAAAGTGACAGCTGATGATTGGGGGGTTCAATCAGGCGGGGAGTTTAGGTGTTTTGATGTGAGGGTTAAGGGAATTATAATAATGGTGTCAAGAGGGGTCGATTGTGTCGGAATAGCCTGAAATCGCCGATGAGGTGAATTTGAAAAATGAAAGATTATTTTAAAATTTTTATCTTTGAAATGACTATTTTACCTTTTTAACCGTTAGATTAAACAGTTATATGTTAATTAAAGAGTGAGAATCTGCAATATATGAAACCAGGGTTTAGGTTTGCCAAACCTTGGGTAGGAAAATGTGATTTACTCTTCTTTTCACACTTAAATAAGGACTAATCTTGGACTCTAACTCCATATTGACCATTCTAACCTTACTCTGAAAGGGCAAAAAGTATTTTGAGATTAAGTTGGTGGCCATGGATTTACCTGTCCGGCGGCCAGTTTGAGACGGAAATAGTGAAGCTCCAGGGGAGTAGAAGTGACGTGGACGGCGAAGAATGTAGCTGGGTTTCTGTATAAGATCTTGACCGTTGAATTTAGAGACAGCATATCTGTTGGCACCCCTGATCCATCATTACCTGCTTGAACATTAAAATTCTCGAACACGATGTTCTGTTCCCACGCCACATTAAAAGCCACAAATAAGCGCACATTTTTTTATACTTTATAGTTTATAGTAAAATCTTTAAACAATTTAATCAAGAAAAGGCTAAATACACGGGATTTTAACTTCCAAAACGGCGTCTAATCACCTAATATTTCGTTTCTCGATAAAACTCCGAACTGAGTCACTGGCTTCACTCGGTAGAAAATCGAGTCAAGAGCCAGTTATTGAGTTACCCAATACAGATTATTGGAGTTAATTCGACTGAAACGCATAAAAAAGTGTGCCAGAGCCAGACAAGGAAAACAGAGTCATTGAGTGCTCTACTCGGTTGATCATCAACGAGTCAACTCAGTGGAAACAATATCAGAGCAAAAAAGCATGTACCTTGACGATGATTTTAGGCTTGTAAGCCTTGCTGGCGCCCCACAAGATCAAGCAAAACACGGTGAACATGACAACGAAGAACAAACAAATACACAAGTACAATCTGACTTTATCAGTAGACCCTCCATAGCGACCGTCCGTTTCGTCGTCGTCGTCGTCTTGATGAAGCTGCACGTGTTTCCAAGGGGAGAGGTTTCTGGGGTTCTTCAAGGAGGCGGAGAACCGCGAGGTGGAGGACTCACGAGAGTGGTGGATGGGCGAGCAGTGGTAGTAATGATGGGCAGGGGAGCCGGCGGGGCTGGAGCCGTATGACATCTTCTCGACGTCGTGGTTGGAAGGGCTCTGGACGTAGTATATGGGCCTCCTTGGAGACCTTGGCAGCCATGAGGCGTCAATGCTGGTCCCCTCTGAGTCAGTTTTTGCATGCATTGTGGGTCGGGGGTGGGAGGGTTTTGGCTTGTGATTAAATAGTAACGTAATGACTAAAGGAGACAAGACAAATATGCCAACACATCTCCTTGTTAATGTTATACTTATGCTACATTTAAAAAGTTAAAAAAAAAAATCAATTATTTTCTATTAAAATACTTAAAAGGGTAATGTCTGTCATCTGTATTGTTTACAAAGATAGATATAAAAGAGGTATAAAGAAAGGCATTCAAAGATGATTGTTACACTTCATCTTCATGATTTCTCTCTTTCTCTCTCCCTCTTTTTCCGTTTTTTCTTTGTTTTTTTTTTCACTTTGTATAGGTATTTGTAATGATAACATTTTTCTTATTTTAAAAATATAGATAAACTTTATTATTCATAATAATTAACTTATTAAACCACAATTGACCAAGTTCAACCAGAACTCTTGAGTTGATTATTCAAAAGTTCTTGAGTTAAATTCATTTTAGCCCCTAATACGGATGATCACTGGAAGTTCACTCAGTCGTTAACTTCAAGCTAATAAAGGTCACTACTAAAGATTTATCTGGTAGTTACTTTCAAGATCTTACTCATACTAATAAAGGTCATCATTAGAGATTTATCTAGTTGTTAACTTTAAGATCCCACCTAAAAGCATTTTTTTAAAAACCGAACCGCTAGTTGACCCAGTCAAGGGGTCGGTTCGAGGGTTGACCGGTCCAATCAGTTAGACCGGTCAGTCTGATCGGTATATAGCAATCACATCTTTAAATAATTTCATTAATTGTTATAAGTTTAAAATAAGCAAATACATCCCTAAATTTACCTATAAACCCCTATAAGTTTAAAATAAAGTAAATACACCCTACAAATTTCATTATTAATTTTTTTTTTCTTTCCCCATCACTTCCATCTTTCTCTTTTTTTTCTCTCTCTCCCTGTCACTCCCTGTCATCACTTTCTTCTTTCTTCTTTCTTCTAACACATTCGCGTCTCTCTAGTCTCTCCACTGTAATTTTTCTCTCCTCTTCTCTTCTTTCTTCCTTCTCTTTCTCTTCATCTCCTCTTTCCTTTCTTCTAATCTTCTTCCTTACTCTTTCTCTTGTCTCCTCTTCTCTTTCTTCTTCCTTACCCTTCCCTTACTTCTTCTTCTTTACACTGTAGATTTAGAGTAAGTGAAGAAGAACAGAAGATGAAAATGGAAAATGCAATTTGGTTTTTTTATTTAAATGAAACGGTGCTGCAAATTGGTTTAGGAATATGAATTTTTTAGGATCAGATACCCAAAAATAACGAACCGTTTTAAGCTCCGGCTGATTGGACCGACGGTTTTGTACTGTTCCGTCGGTCCATTACCGATCTAAAGCGGGTTTAATGACATTCCCTGTTTTTATGTTAACCCGAACCGGAGTAAATGTCGACTCCCTATTGAACCGATCGGTCTAATCCAGGTTTTAAAACAGAGCCTAGAGGATTAGTTAAGCTGCGGTCAAGTTGACCCGAACACTCCTAAAAAAAACCTATTAATTAACAAAAACCGATAAATAATATGAAAAGTTTTCAAGATAAGAAAAGATTGATTAACCTTAAAATTAGTAGTATTTTCTCTTCTCTTCTCGTATAAGGAAAATAATAAACACAAGACTAGTTCCGAAGTCTAACTAATTATGGTAAATTTAGGCCTCGTGCGTATTGTTTACGCTGTGGGTGGATTTGTAATGAGAAATAGAGAATGTCTGGATTGACCTTTCTAATTTTGGTAATAAATTATCATTTTAATGGATTCTTCAGAATAACAAATAATATTCCCATTCTTTAATCACATTAATTAATTAATCAACAATACTTTCAAAACGGTGAAAAAAATTACAACCCCCCCTAACATCTACTGGGCTCAGGCCCATTAGTTTCACTTATTTGGACCTCACCAGGCCCATCCTCAAACTCCTTGATCAAATCAGGATCAACATTCTCCTCAGGCTCCCACGTCGCCTCATCAATATCCGTCCATTTAACCAAATACTCTTGCTTCCCATCATCACCCATTCTCTTCCCCAGTACACCCTCAGCCACACCGTATTCCAACCCGGCTTCATAGTCCATCACTAAATCCTCCCCGATCAATCTCGCTTTCACCCATTCGTTATCTCCACCGTCTTTCCATTTCACCAAATACTCCACTTGATCACCCTTCCCTCTCTTCTCCATTATCTCCTGCACCTCCGCGTACTCGAACACCGCCTCCTCTAAATTCCTTATTACACTTTCGAGCCCCAATCTTCTCGCAAATTGCATTGGATTCCCCTTCGGTGTCACGCTCAATATCTGCTTGGCCAAACCTAACNCAATAATTGTGAACAATTTCATCTCTGTAGTACTTGTGATTTGTGAATAGTACCTCGCTACATTAACGATGAACACTATCGTTACCATACCTGTGAAGACTTGTGTAGTGCTTAAATTCCCCAAGAGCAATATTGTAATTTCCCTATTTGATATAACTTACGTTTTAAGCCAATTATCTTAGGAACATTCTCCAAAATAGGAAATAGAATTGTTATGTCAAAAAAGTCACGTTGATGATAACTTAACAAGTGTTTAAAAGATAAATTATACTTCCTGTCAAGCTCATACCGCCTCAAAGATATCTTATACCAACCATACTTCATTTTAAGAGAAGAACGGATGATAGCTGTCTATGTATCAAGGCAACTTACAAAACACTTATTACATTGACCTCAAAGGTGTATACATTAGCACTTCTCTTTATGAAAAAATAGGGGTTGAGTATATGAAAGTTAAACATAGATTTGAGCTTCATTCTTTCTAAACATAGATTTGAGCTTCATTCTTTCTCTCTGTAAAGCAAAATACTTCTCCATCTTTGTATGTTTTATCGACAATATCATAGAAATAGTTAGAGAACAATAAAATAATAGTGGATATAGGATTTGCTTTAAGCATCCGAACCACTATAAAAACTTCTCTTGTCAATCTATTATTTATATTTTCCGCAACATATATAATCTTAGTACCATATTCAAATCTCATGGAACCATTATATATAATTTCTAAGACCCTCTTAGCACTTTACATGTGCGAATCGTTGGTGTTCAAAATCAAACATTAATAAAAATCAACATTGAATAATAAGTCTAAGGGAATAAGGAAGTAGACCGAAAATAAGAAGTGAATATAACTAGGATTCGGTCCTAAAGAGGAAAAAGATCCCAAGTGATTTTTTCTCCATAGTAAAAGGGTATAAATAAAGCAAAAATGCTATATCCACCAAAAAGTTGCACCGAAACACGTGAAAGCCGCCACGTTGGACCGATTGAAAACAGACATAAATGGACGCCCGTCCAAATTAGCAGGACGGGAGTCCATATTATATGGACGCTAGTCCACAAATATGGACGCTCGTCCTACTAATTTGGACCCTGCTAATTTGGACGGCCGTCCATCTATATGGACTGGCCGTCCCTAAATGATGGACGCTCGTCCCCAGTTTGTAAAATTTTTTTATTATTAATTTTTTTTTTTAAAATATAATGTAAATATGGACGGCCGTCCCTAGTATATGGACTAGCGTCCATCTACTAGGGACGGCCGTCCAAACTACATGGACGCCAGTCCATCTACTAGGGACGGCCATCCAAAATATTCTGGACAGCCGTCCAATGTACATGGACGGCCATCCAAAATACATGGACTGGCGTCCATATTTGTTATTTTTTTTTTAATTAATAATAACGAATGGCTTGTCTAATACGCTTCATTTTTAAGCGCCAATTTTTTTTCTTCTCTTCTCCTTCGTCTCCGTCATTTGTTTTTCTTCTGTTCTTCGTCTGCGCCATATGGTTTTCTTAGCTTTTCCTTCTTGCGTGTTGTGATTCCTTGAGGCCGGTTGCTTCCTCAACAGCCAAGCACCAGCAGCAATATCTCGTCCAAGCACCAATAGCAATATCTCGTTCTACAGAGATAACCTTGAAACAAAAGTAAATATCAAAACTGCTAAAGCTAGGATTTGTTTGTTAAGGTAAAGAATTTTTGACTTATTTTATATTCTATTTTAGATTGAATATATGCTTGAATGGATTGAATACATGTTTGATAGATAATATTTGTTGGTGACAGTTATGAACTAGATTCGTGAACGCAAAAACTGGTATTAGTTGTGCATGAAATAACTGAATATGGAAGAGTCCAGTTTGCCGCGTTTCAATGATGTTGAGGTAAATTGTTTTAGAAAATTTTTCAAATATGGTGTATTGTATTGTTTATTATGATGCGTTTACATTCTAATTTTATTTATTATAAAACCATTGAATCAGGAAAATGAATGTGATGAATTAGAAGATACGGGATGTGCAGAGGAAGAAGTGGAGCCTCATATTGGAATGGTGTTTGATTCAGTTGATAGTTTGGTGAAGTATTACAGAAGGTATGNAGACCCCTTCATTAAGGGGATTTGATCAATTTTATATTGGAATTCTCCCTCTCTAAAAGCTTTGTAATTACTGTTCAATCATTTGCAAGTCAGTCTGCTTTAGCAACCTGACCCACCATATCAATATACATCAGTGGACGTAGGACTTGCTACCTTAGCATCCGAACCACTTTAAAAACTTTCATCGCATTTATTCCTTATTTATAATTCATATTCACGTGTGTTCCTTGTCCAAACAACGCTACACAGGTGTTGATTAGTTGCTGCCAAAATCCAGCATCAATAGTTTGGCACTAGAGGAAGGGCTAATTTAGCTTCTACCCTTCATCAGGAGAATCTTTGACCTACTGGTCCTACAGCAGCAAATGGCCCGCCAATCTGAGCTAGAGCAAGCTAATCAGCGTGCTGAAGGAGTTCCCTTGACCCAAGGGGATACCCCCTCGAGGGTACCTCCAGTTTCGCAAAATGCTGCGGGGGATATCCCGGCAGCTTCACAACTTGACCCCGCCATCAGAAACTACCTGGAGAGGTTCGACAATACTTTCCAGACGGTCAACCAAAGGTTGGACCATTTGGACCAAGGCATGTCATCTACAACAGCTAGGGCGGTGCAACCGCCAAAGACGCCTGCAGGTCGCGTGAAAGCGCGGCAAAGGGCAATAGCCCATGCCGCGAGCACTATGGCGCGTAGACGTAAGGGCAAGCAAGTGGCAAAAGGTCAGCCTACGGGCTCCCAGGGACCAGCAAGCACAAATCGTGCCCCGAGCAGGGTGCCGGTAAAGCTGAGACTCGACGAAAAAGTGAATCCTGAGCAGTCCTATGCCACGTCGCAGGCGAACCCAAGCAAAAATGCTGCGCGCAATGATTCTTATCGCTGCCAGCAAAACGATCCCGATCGTTATCATGCAGGTGGTCCCCACACCTCGCGGGGCAGTTCGTACCACCACGAGGATCGTGAAAATGCCTCGCACAATCCATTGCCTTCGCACGCCTCTAGTCAGCATGTGTCGAGTACGGCCGAAAATGCCAGTCGAAGCGAAGAGGAATCCGACCTACGGACCCTTCTGAACCGTAATCGCGAAGGCTGGACTCGCATGGGTGAAAGCAACCCCCAATTGGCTCCGCTACCACAAATTGAGGAGCTATAGTGAGCTCTGAACAGGTTAAGGGAGTAGCAAAACGAATAGGCACAGGTCGCCTCTGCATCCCCTTTCTCTCCCGAAGTGCTAGCCGCTCCACTCCCACCGGGGTTCAGAATGCCCAACATGCGGCTGTTTGATGGGAACCATGATCCGCAAGATCATATATATGAGTTCAACGACCTGATAGAGCTCCACCAGGTTTCGGATCTTGCAAAATGCTGTTGTTTGGCCGTGACGCTGACTTCTCACGCCAAGCGGTGGTTGAGGTCGCTCCCAGCGGGATCGATCGGTTTGAGGCCTCAGATGAGCACGACATTCCTACGGCACTTCCAAGCTAATCGGAAGTTTTCGATGCCTCTGAGCTACCTCAACAACATAAGGCAAGAAAGAGACGAATCTCTGCAATCTTACATCGACCATTTCCACAGGGAACTCAACAAGGTCGCTCACACTCCAGAAGAGTCCATCCGAACACTCATAATAGCTGGAGTTCGGCCACAAACCGACCTGTGGAAAGAACTGCAGGCTGAGGATGATGTTTCCCTCACCGGATTTTACAACCTTGCAGAAAAGTATCTCCGAATAGAGAATTTGTTGGCGGCACTTCGCCGTCGCGATCACGGCACTTCCAACAGTATGTCTGGTCGGGGAGAAAATAGGAGAGCTGATCGCAAAGGAGATATTGATGATCAGCGAAAAGGGAAGAAACCCCGTTATGAGCACAAAAAGTCTTATGCTCCCGTTCCTTGTCGCGACCGCGACAGAGCTCAATACACTCCGCTGAATGTGTCCATATCTGCCATTCTTGACAAATCCGAGGAGGCCAGCCTGCTCAGTGAGCCGGAACCAATGAAAACTTCTGCTACGGCCAGAAACAGCAAAAAATACTGCCGTTACCACCGGGATAACGGGCATCACACTGATGAATGCCGAGCTCTAAAGCAGGCTATCGAAGAGCTCATCAAGAAAGGGCACTTCAAGGAGTACATTGATAACTCTCCAAAAGAGACCCAAGGGGAGCAAAAGAAAAAGCATTGTGATCGCAGCAGATACAGCAGTGTTAACATAATCTTTGGATGTCCGCACCTCGCTGGAAACACGCGAGGAGCACAGGAAAGGTCGTGAAGCATATCACGACTCGATCAGGGTAATGAACGCTTCGCAGTGACCTCAAAAAGCTAGAAAGGAAGAACCGATCGCCTTCTACGAGAAAGAAGCAGCTCACTTGCACCATCCTCATGAGGACGCTCTGGTGATCACGCCCCTAATAGAGTGCCATAATGTCTGCAGAATGCTTGTAGACAACGGAAGCAATGTGAACATCCTGTTCAAGACCGCTTTCAATAGAATGAACCTAGACGAGGCCGACCTGAAGCCAGCCTCGATGCCTCTTTACGGTTTTACGGGGGATCACCTGATACCCAAAGGAACGATCCAGCTACCAGTCACGCTCGGCGACTACGATGAGATGACTAGGGTTACCGAATTTTTGGTCGTGGACTGCCCATCGGCCTTTAATAGAATCTTGGGGCGACCTCTATTGAGAACCTTCAAGGCAGTCACTTCCATTTATCACCTCAAGATGAAGTTCCCCACTCCAACGGGGATCGGGGAAGTAAGCGGATCGCAAAGCGCATCTTGCGAATGCTATGTAAAAGCGGTGCAGATGGCAGACAAGGAAAGGGCATTTCGCGATGTGTGCCCCGCTAGGCTATGGCGATCAGCCGGATCGAGCCACAGCTTGGTCCAGCGGAGGATAACATAGATCCGCGAATCCAAGAAATCCACCCCAGCGGCCCGGTTGAGGATCTGTCCGAAATTTCGGTTGATCCAAAAGAGCC